CCCCTTGAACTTCGGGGGAGATGAGGTCGGTGGAAAAAAGAAGGTTTTGGGAAGCCATATTATAAACTATTCAAAATACGGAAAATAACCGTCATAAAAATATGTTCTTTTCCAAATAAGACTCTAATTCTAGAACACAAAATTTCGATGCGTCATGCGTGCGTTTTGATCGATTCGTTTATTTGTTTGATTTATTAAATATAATGCAAACGGTGATAATTTTTACATGAATTTGCATGAACATTTTTGTTACACCAATCTCGATAAATAAATAATTTTTTAAACATAAGGAAACGAATGACGATAAGTTAGATTTGGGTGTTGACGTGTCACTTGGTAAAAATAGAACGTGTTAACATGAAACATTTAGTCTAAATATAGTGAAGAGGGAGGTGATGTCCGATATTTTTACTTCGCATCATGAGCTTTAAATCTCAAGGCAATCTAGCCGAGTTGGCCACTATAGGACTACCAAAACAAGCGTCATAGACTTGCAGCATCGTGATTATCGTCACCGTCAAAATTAGGATAAATATTGTACCAATTTTTCAACCACAGTACCCATGCTTGGTCTCTGCACAATCAGAAAAACCATTAATTACATAATAATTAATAAAACAAAAAAAAAATACTAATATTTACTTTTTTTGGTTCCTTCTGCCACATATCCTGGATTAATTTTATGAGAGACTGCGGATAAGTTTTTAATTTTTCGAGCGGAGGTCTGATTCCTCTATCCTTGACTAATATATGGTTATACTTACAGGCCTTAGTATGATGATGGGACCTTTATAGATGTATGATTAACGAAAGAGGATAAAAGAAATTTGCTTTACCAGCTTCATATAGTTGATGTTCTGAGAAATTTTGATACGGATATCCTTCTTCACTCCATGTCAAGATTTCCCAAAAAATAAGCCCACACGCATATACCTATGTACGATAAATTCAAAAAGTAGGATTAAAAAAAGAAGGCAAACATGTGTTTCAAATGTATGTATAAGTAATAACAAGGAGGGGCAATCAAAAATAGAAATATGTGGTGGTTACTCACGTCAACTTTTTCCGTGTATCTAGGATTTGATGCCCAAAATTCAGGAGCTTGCCAATTGGGAGTACCGCATTGTGTATGCATGCTAGCATTGGCTCTCGGACGAATACGCGCTAAGCCAAAATCGTTTATTTTTGCGCGTAAATCGGAGGAAATTAAAATGTTCATTGATTTTAAATCTCGATGTATTATGCTAGGTCTACGATTGTGTAGATAGGCAATACCTAAAGCGATATCATGCATATACATAATCTGAAGAAAGCAGAAGAGAAAATGATCAAAAATAGCATAGGCACACATTAAAATAAGTTGTTGATGATGACAGGTGATAATAACTGACAAATTAAATACATATTATGATTTTACCTGCTGGCTGAAAGTTGGTCTGGGCACTTTTCGCATGTAATCAAACAAATCCCCATTATCACACAATTCCGTTACAATGCATAGATGTTTGGTATTGGTACATACGCCGATAAATTCAATGATGTTCTCGTGTCGCAATTGTCTAAATAAGGTTCGGGATAAGATATAATGTTTGTTTTGAGCAATCTAACGTATTTTTTTCTGCCGATAAAGATGTATATAAATAAATAAGCTTACTTGAGCACATCTATTTCATGTTTCATTTCTTGAAAATCTGATTCGGTGAAATTTACTATGCGCAGTTCACCAATGGCAACTGGTCCCTATATGAATGAACAAAATTCTTTTTTAATCCATTAATTCATTCATTCATTCATTGAATAATCCACAAGCATCATAATTTTATAACTTACCCCTTCATATGTTCCCGCGTAACAATCTTTAAATCCACCGGAACCAAGTTTCTTACCAACTTCCAATTTATCGTAATCAATGACTGGTATTTCGCCATTGATAAATAACGTGCTCCAAAGAGAACTATTTATAACTCCCGGTTGGGTGCACAATACGCCATCTGTCGATATTAGTTTAGGCGTTGAGGGAGCAGGAACTGGACGTGTATTTAACTTCTAGAGAAGACACACGTATTTAACAATAACGAACGAAAAAACTGATTTCATTATTTCCAACTCACTTACCCAATCCAACAATCGTTTAATTAATTCTTCTTTTTCGCCTTCGGTGGGTAGACCTGTAATTGATTAAACGATCGAAAAAATGAAATTGAACCTTTGCGATTTACACAATGCAATATGATCGCCCGATGAATTACCTCTTTCTTGACATAATGCTATCAAGTCAGCGAATATCATATTATTCAAGGTGTACCAGTTTTCTTTTTCTAAAGCCTCGTCTAAGACATGGAGAAGTACATTTCTATTTATTTAAGCATAGTAGAAAGTAAAAGCTGCCAAAAAATATATAATATCGAAAAACAATAATGATACCATGATAATGCTCATTTTTCCCACTTACCCGTGTGATGGTCTAATGTTTCAAATCGTGCCATTTTTTTAATAATAATGTAGGATTTTTATTTTTAGGGTAAAAATTATTGAATTTTTCTTTTGGAAAAAATTCAAGTTATATATTGCACTTTTCATAATGTGTGTAACTTCTATCAATTACATCAACATGACATCACTGCAAAAATTATGACTCAACATGGCTTTTTTGGGGAATGATGGTTTTCTGTACACACTTAATTTTTTCGCGAACTTTACCTAAATTGTGTTAGTCTATGATGCCTCTTTTTTTTTGACGTTTTACATTGAACGAAACACCTTAGAAAGATTAAGCGCCTTGCAAAAAGGTTCAGGAGATTTGGCTTATCAAAGTTTACCTTGTAAATTTCATATCGATATATAAATCATGTTTTGTATAACAAGTGTGCCTTTGTATATTGGGATATTGTATTGGGAAATATTTTGACGTGTAGGGAAGAAGGTAATGGGAAAAAAAGAACAATATATATGTATGACGTTTCGCGTCATTGTCATTCCAATTGTGTCAGACTATGTCGATCATGTGTAACTGCAGCATGAGCCAATCAATAATTCAAGCCTAATTCGATCATATGGGACTGGTTCCTAATTTTGGAAATTTTTGTTTCAATTTTTCTGATCCAAATATGGTTAAAGAACACTAAAAAATATCGATATGAAATTAGTTATTTTCAACAATTAAAAACAATTATTAAACATTTAATTAGTGCTGATATATTAAAAATTTATTAGAAATTAATCTTGTGCAATAGATTTATATTACACACATAACTTTATTTATATAAATTCAATAACGATAAGCAAATAAAATTTACTTGTATTATTTTGAATTACAGTCAAATCTTGCTATAATTATCACTCTTGAAAAAGCAAGCTTGTATAAAGAGATTTGATATTATTCTTATTCAGAAGTTATATAATAATACCTTCCTAAATGCACTCCTCTTAAAATCATATGAAAAAATGATAAAAGATGCATTTAAAGAAGAGTATGTATTTATAAAGAGTAAAATACATAGAGATTTTGTGATTCGAAACTAAGTGGTATCATATACTATATGCATTTATAAAGCATTTATTATATAATGTATATTATTATGTAATATTTAATATATACAATAAAGGGAATTATTATTAAATATTTAATTAATAATATTTATAATAAGAATTATATATTTATATAAAATTAAATAATTTTATTAATACAATAAAATCAAAAATAATGCAATACTTGTAATTAAGTAATAAATTCAAGTATTGCATTATTTTTGATTGTCATTGTAAATTTTTTATAATAATTAAATAAAAATATAATAAAAATCAAATTTATTATAAGTTAAAATATTTTTAATTAATAAAATTTAATTAATTAGTTTTATTTTAAGTTAAAATAAAATATTTATATAAAATAAAAAATATATATTTTTTATTAATTATAATTAATAAAAAACTCAAGTAATTTATTTTTTTTTTGATCACTATTATATTTATATAATAAACTTTTAAATTTTGTTTTAGATATTCAAAATAATTTATAGTTTTAATTTAAAAATAGACTTTTATAATTATGAAATTAAGAGATTAAATTTATTAATAAAATATAATAAAAATTAAAATTTTCTCTTTATATTAAAGTTTATAATTTTATTAAGAAATATTTTTTATTTTTATATTAAAATAAAATTTATAAATTATAATTAATATATATTTTTTTCAGATTTTTTAGATTTTTTCTGAAAGTATAATTCTAATTATAAAGTTATTGAAAATTTTTTTCTAATTAAAAAATAAAAATTAGAAAAAAATTTTGCATAACTTTGTAATTAGAATAATACTTTTAGAAAAAATCTAAAAAAATATATGTTAAATTATAACTTATAAACTTAAATTAAAATATTTTTTATAATTATATTCATTAAAAAATTTATTATTTTTATATAATAAATTTTATAATAAAAGAAAAAATATTTAAATAAAGAATTTTATTATATTTAAATTTGAATTAATCATAAATAAATTATTTTTTTATAATTATATTTATTATAATTATATTTTTATAAAAAATAATTATAAAATTAGATAAAAAAATAATCAAATATTATTATAATTATAATTATTTTATTAAAATATTTATATTATATAAATATTAAGATGTGATAATAATAAACTATCATGTTAAGATTATTTATTAATATCTGATAATTATTATTTTTTAAAAGATTATTCTTTATATATATTATATACAATTTTTATATCATTATTAATTTAAATTCTATATTATTTTCTTAAAGAATAAAATGATTATAAAATTGTAATTCACAATTATAAATAAATTTGAAAAATGAAATTACAGTTGATTCCAGAATTACACATCCAATTGAGCCTATATAGTGAAAATATTCTTAGATGCAAAATGTTTTTTACTCAGCATAATTTTGCATAGTAGATTAGGATCGAATTTTTTAATTGGCTCATGCTACAACTTGACAAAGAAATTTCCGGTTTCAAAATGACTTCTGGTATAATTTCTTTCAGCAAGGAGAATTTTAATATTCCTTTACAACCAAAGTATTGACTTCCTTTTTTTATTTAAAAAAAGCATCTTCGAATAGCAATAAGCATCGCTTCGAATTTGAGAACGAAACATTCAGTACTTTGTATGTAGGCAGTAATAAATAAAACCGCCAAAAAACTAATGGACGAATTCTTTAAATTTTACGCTGTAATTAAAGATACAAAACTCTCGAGAACAATATCTCCCAAATAACAAGATCTGAAAGAGACAAAAGTTTTGATTCTCTGTATGTTTGTTGTTTCATATTATGCATAATAAAAAATTTAATGTTTTCTTACCGTGTGTCTTAATAATTTATGTTCTAATAATAATAATAATAATGATATGATAATACTAATAATAATAGATTCAAAGAAGCAGTTGAATTACATAGCAACGATGATGACTACGTGTTCACGCGGAATGTCTATTTTAAAGCCTTGTAAGTGTATACTTTTCTTTTTATAAATATAGATCCACATAATTACTAATATTATTAGACATGAAGAATGTCAAATGTTAGGAGTGGTAGCAACTAAACCAGAGATTATCATAAATCGAGAAAATAATCAACGAGAATCAAATAGCCAGCAGACATTAACTAATCCGATAGATAATAATACTCCTCGCAAAATAAATGATGATCCTATAAAAATTGAAGAGAAAAAAGAAAGTGCTTCTCAGCAAACATGCACCAACATTGTCGGTCTGATTTCCTCTTCATCCTCCTCGTCGCCACGGACACCGGTATCGCATAAAACAAAATCCTTGTCTCAAGCGGATTCGAAAGATGAAAGGATAGCCATGGAGCTATCTGATGACGTTATAACACCTCAGCCAACAAATCCTATTACAATGCAAGATCCTGTTCCAGAGATGAATGAAGTTCAGGATGAAGTAAATAAAGATGAATCAACCAACTCTAAACCGCTGGAAACTCCTCGACAAAAGAATGATTATCAAATCATAGTCGAAGAGAACGATGAAACTGTATTACGGCGGACACGTTCCAGAGTCTATACGATGTCAACAACGCCTATATTGCGTAAATCAAAACGCTTACATGAAGAAGATAATGTCAAGACGGCCTCTGAAGCTGATTCTGAGCCATCTGGCGCTATTACTATTCCTACTCGAAAACACAAAATCAAAAAATATCGAGTAAAGAATCAGTGATCATTAATTTCTGACGAGGGCGATGAGAATTTATCAAACAGAAACTTCCTAAGCGAATACGTCGTGGAGAGAAATTTATAAGGGTAAAATTGTTGAGAATGAGATTAATGAAATCATTACCTTTTTTTTTTTTATTTTTTACTTTAAGAAACGGGAGATTCATGTTATTCTTACAAATTGTGAATATTGTGAATATATACATTATTCGTCATTCGTATGCATATATTCGGCAGAAACGCTTGAATCTAGCTAATTTAATGTTTAATGATATGCCTGATTGGTAAAAACCTCACGTGAGAACACAAGCAAAAAAAAACATTCACGAATAATGTAATACTTTCGATTTAGACATATAATCTACCGTTGTATTGTTACTATTTCAAACTCGAGCAATACAAAACAAAAATACACATTTAACCCAATTAATTGTATTTACAAAACTACATCGTCGTGGTCCTCTTAACCATGGCAGAAAGCACTGTTCATCCAATGGTAGCTCCACAAATGGAGCGAATGATTTGGCACTCGCTTGACAATTACCTGTTCAGAAACGCGACTTTCTTAGCTGAGAGGCTATACGCATTTGACAAAGAAAATGAAAACGCGCTATATCTGTTAGCCACTTGTCATTATCGTAGTGGAAACCGAAAAAATGCTTACAAGCTACTGGAAGGGTTACGTTCACCAAAATGTGTTTATCTTTTCGCAAAATGTTGTCTAGAATTAGATAAAGCTGAAGTGGGCAGAGAGAAATTATTATTGATACTGCCTGAAGTTGAAGGTCACAATAGTTTGGGTAAGGATTTGTTCTTTTTATATCTACATGAGCATAATTCACTTTACAATCCACCAGAAACGCGTGAATTTTCTAGACTATGGAACGTGTTGAGCGACTTTGTCATAATCTCTTGACGTTTTGTTGTTAATTTTAAAGATATCCCGGGTGATCCTTTCAGATGTGACAAACCAGACGAATCAGTCGTCTTATGTTTGTTAGGGGCTTTATGCAGAAAGACAAGGAACATTGATGAAGCCGCGCAATACTATATGGCTTGTTTAAAAAAGAATCCATTTATGTGGGAAGCCTTTGAGGCGCTTTGTCAATTAGGTATTTGCAACTTTTGTGTTGATTCATTTATTGCATTCGATGATCTTTGTTAATAAAATCTATAAATTCCTAATTGAGAATAGGGAAATCATCTCAAATTGATTTACAAGAAATATTTCAACCACCCAATGATAAATCAACACCAAGAATTCCTTGTACAGATATACTACGTCCACAATTCATAACATCAAAAGCAGTATGTTTTGAATTCATCTTTTTCATTGGTTTATTAATAGATCATCTTTTTTATCCTTTACATGTGTGTTTATGCATAATAGCTTTCAAGACCGGAACGAGGGAATCATGCAGCGATTCCAAGGCGAAGTTCAAGGATTTCATCAAATAAGGTTCATTGATATAGAAAATGATTTCTTTCTATTATAAACTCTTAGTTAACAAAGTTCCTTTTGATAATCTTTAAAGTCACCGACAGCAATTCAATCACAATTAACAGATACCAGGGAAAAGAAACGAACACGTATCATGAACGAAGAGAAAACTGCTAATAATACTAATGTGATATCGATTGATGACGAAAACAAAAGATCAAGAGCAAACATTCACTCAAATAAACATGCGACGGATTTCGAGAATGAAGGTGTAAGTAATTTAGGGATTTATGTTCATTATGAAAATTATGGAAAAATTGAAATAATTATCTAACCTCGAGTATCTTATATATGAAGAAAGGAATAGAAGACACGAAAGAAGACCAACATATTAAATTTAATAATACCTCAGATGATGATCGTAGAGTAGCACGAATTGAAATATTGGACTTGTTAAAAAAATGTGCGCGAGGTCTTTCGTATATCAGTGAGTTTGAGTGTCACAAAGCAATAACCGCTTTCGCAGAACTACCTAAAGTTCAATATGAAACGTCGTGGGTTTATGCTCAACTTGGCAAAGCTCACTTTGAACTGGTCGATTATCCAAGAGTATGTACATAAATTAACATAATTGACCGCATCTGAGATTAAATTATATTTATTTAATAAATTCAGTTTTTGAAATTAATTACCTACACATTTTTTCATTAAACAAGGCTGAACATTGTTTTCAATGGGTACGAAATCTTGAGCCTTTTCGAATGGAAGATATGGAAATATATTCTACAGCACTTTGGCACATGCGCAAAGATGTCGCTCTGAGCGCTCTAGCACACGAACTTGTAGAGTATGATCGTCGGTCACCACAGGCATGGTGTGCAGTCGGCAATTGTTTTAGTCGTCAGCAAGAACAGGATATGGCGTTAAAATGTTTTCAACGTGCAATACAATTGGATCCATCGTTCACATATGCACATACTTTGTCGGGTCATGAGTGTATGGCGAATGGAAATTTCGAAAAAGCACAAGAACATTTTCGGAATGCCATTAACACAAATCGACGTCATTATAATGCTTGGTGAGAAATTTTATAAACATATTTTAAGTTAATAAGTCTTGAATTGAGCAAATCGATATTCACATTTATGGGAATTTTCATTAAATAATATTCAGGTATGGATTAGCCAATTACTATGCAACTTGCGGTAAAAAGCAATCTGCTGAGCGTCATTATCGAGCAGCCCTGGACATTAATCCTAATCATGCAGTTCTTATATGTTGTCTGGGAAAAGTGAGCAGAGACCTATGATTTTCATTTTTTTGGGGGGGGGGGGAAAGGCAATAATATTAATGATAATCTGTAATTATAGGTATTAGAAAAAATGAATAGATTTCCAGAAGCCCGCGCTCTGTATGATCGTGCATGTGAAGTAACACCTAATACACCCCTTGCTAAATTCAAAAAAGCCAAATCATTATTCCGAGAGCACGAGTATCAGGTATTTGCATTGCATACAATTTGATACTCTCTACGTTGTACTATCGCTATCTCTAAATAAAATACTTTATTTGAATCTTACAGGCGGCTATTAAGGAACTAGATGCACTCAAAACCACAGTTCCCAAAGAGCCTAAAGTCTATTTCCTACTAGGGAAAATCTACAAAGCACTCGGTGACCGGTATAATTCCACGCAAAACTTTACGCACGCATTGCAGCTAGACAACAAAATGGCACATGTTATAAAGAGTGCGATGGAGAAACTCGATCCTGATTTAAGTAATGATTCAAGTATGGCGTTGTCAAATACTTGAGTAGTATTATTGTTGTTGTCGATATGTAAGTTGTGAAAAAAAATTTTTAATTTATATATAAATATATATTTCAAGTATTTTTATTTTCCGCTTTTGTTATTAGCTATATGGTTAAATTTTCTGTCTCTTAATTTAGTAATTAAGTAGATAGATAGTTAGTCAGTCAGTCACATCAAACTGAATTTTATACTAGAAATTATTAGCTAATGCTTTCGATTGTAAAATTTTGAAGTTGAGGTATTCCTCTGTAGTATTATACATCATCAGTCTGCCAAAAGAATAAAATGCTTCCTTGCTTTTAAAAAATTGACGCATCACTTGATTCTCAACAGGAAGAATTATCAACCATACATCAACCCAATCCCAAATCCAACCACAAAAGCAGCATCAGTATGAAACCTTTTCCTGAAAAAATCATACACCTTCCAAGCCAACTCCTTGACATCCCGCTGTATAGCAGCACCATCAACATCACTATCATTTCTATTTAAATCCAACATAACATTATATGTCTCTTCAATTCTACCTAAATCGAATGGGATATGATATCCGTTTGCATCTAATACTTGAATCAACACAAATGAAGCGCCAATCGAAAACGCGACGAGTTGACTCGCTTTTTTTACAAAGTATCCTGTAGCGAATCCCATTGCTCCGCCTAATGCCATCTTTTTGATGTTTGGTGGGATTGCTGGCGTGTTGTCACTGTCGTCACTGTTCTTGTTATAGTTATGGGGTTTTGGAATGTTATGCATTGGTCGTCTAGTATTACTGTTTTGAGTTGTATCAAACACGGAAGAGGCGGGTATTGTTGGTCTGATTGGATCACTTTCGCGTGTTAGATCTAATTTATCACGAAATAAAGTTATCCTCTTTGTACTACAAGTTATCAATAGCCATGTATTTGAATCGAGAAACAAACCTACGCAATACGCGACATTCCCAAAGCTTTGTAAGGCGATTCCAATACCAAGAACGCCGAATGATCTCAGTATATCCAAATTATTTATTTTTAACGGGATCTCGGGAATTCCCGTATACAATATACAGTATGGGCTATAATATTCATTTCTATGTTTTATCAAAGTTCGAGTAGTGTCTATAATTTTCGCTGTTCATTTAGTTTGTTCCATATTAATAATAATGACACAAGAGAGAGAGAAAACGTTAAACTTTATGGGAATAAGATACGCTTAAATGGTTCCGTTTCCAGAATTTCGTTGAATACTAACCTTTCCTATTATCAGCTGTGTTAAAGAATAACTTCCAAGAAGGCCAGAATTTATGAGATTGCGTAGATACAAGAGAAAAACGTGCTGTGCCTAATAGAGATGTTGTTTTCAACATTGAGAAAAATAAAAACGTAGAGTATTAAAAATTGAAAGATGTGTGTGAAACATTTCACCGTGGGCGATCAAATACAATAGGTCATGGTTTAATTAACGATAACGATAACGATAACGATAAATGCTATTTGAGCGAATTAATTTTTATGCTCTCATCTTTTCAAAACTTCTTATAGCGCATCGGCTGGCTGGAATGATATTAGAATTTTTTTTCAGTGTCTTTTTGAAATTAAGAAAAAAAAAATTCAACACATAAACTGTTTAATTTCCGTTTGATTCTATAATTTCTTTTACTTGCTGATTTTGATTCTTTTGCTAACTCTCAAGGTTTTGTAGAAAGTATATTTTAGATTAAGTTAAAATATTTGCATCAAGTTCTAAAAATAGATAATATGTATTTATGTTTTGAATAGCTAGAATAGTTTCAGAAAATCTTTATTAAAATTTATTAGGCATAAAATAAAAATAATAATAATAATAATAATATAGGCATGAAAAAATCCATTTCATCTTTTGATCAGGGGAAATCCATTTTTTCAAGCATGAAATTCATCACAATTCATAAATAAAAGAAATTACATTTGTTTTTCTCTTGTTAAAAGTTTTCTTTACAAGATTTTCAATTCTTTTAATATTTCTCATTTATTCTTTTGACTAGCAAAAAATTATATAATTCTCATTAAGTTAATTTATTTAAAAAAATTACTATTAAAAACATATCTAACAAATAATTTAATTATTTAACTTGAGACTTAATTTCTTTATGATACTGATTCAATCTTTATGACATATTTTTAATCAAATATGCTTGCAATTTGGTAAAAATAATGATATATATATGTGTCGATCTCTTAAAATTTAAAATTTTGGGTGACGATAAATCACGCTCAAACCAATTTTCCTTCCCAAGAAAATATATAAAATATAGAAAAAAAATAATATGAGCCAAGAAAGTAAAGAAAAAGATGAACCTTGGAATTGTTTAACTTATTACGGCTATGCTTATCCTTCTTTAACAGAATTCCGAGCAAGCGAATATGTTTCTTCCGCAACTTTTGACGAGCCTAACCACTATAAAAACTTACAAGAAGAAATAGAAACTTTCAAAATTGCTCGCCGTAATCGACCAACTAAAGAAGAAACTGAAGAATATTTAAAGGCTCAATTGGATACTTTGCGGCACAATCTACAGGAAGACGAAAGCGAACTTATTCACTTGGATTGGCAAGCTGCTTTGGAGACGCCACGGCAAAGAAGAATAATCGCGAACCAAAAAAAGCAACGCCAACAACATATTGCTTGGTTACAGATCCAAATAAAGGTTAGAGAGCAAAGAATTGCTCCACAAAATATTAGATCAGATTTAGACAAACTCAAAAAAGAAAACCAAGAACTCACCGAAAACCTTTTTGTTCTGCAAGAAAAATCTCGTTTTGATAGCCGTGAAATTCAGAGACTTAAGCAAAGAATTACACATCTTGAAGAGGAAAATAACATTCTGCGTGGACAATTGGAAGAAATCCAAATTAAAGACGCAACCTTGAAAGAAAAAATTCAGCTCAGGCAAAATAAGCTAGCAAGACTGAAAAGTATCATGGAAAGCAAATTAGAGACTGACGGTCAAAAAGCTTTTCTTGATATTCTTTTGGATTCACAGGAACAACTTGTTCGTTTAGAGGATGCACCGCCATCAATGCGTTCGTTAAGTGAACGACAATTAGAGAGAGCAAAGCAAAGGTTAAATGAAAATTTGAATGATGGAGAAATTAGTAACCTTTGCCAAGTGCAAGCCGAACTAATTAGGTTAATAATCCAAGCGGAATAAAGAACGGAAGCTTATCCAGCACAGAGAGATTGAAAGAATACAGATATCATAAATTGAAAAAGTTTCTAAGACCTGACTAGATCACAGTAAAGTTCAGACTAATCTTTGCGATAGTTTAGAAGCCACTTTGGAGAATATGGATATAGACGGTGATAAAACATTTAAAACATTAAACAATATATATAATCTATTAAAATTACCTGAAACTGGAAAGCATACCATCACAAAAAAACTTGTTCAAGAGTTCTACCAATTTTTAGCAGCAAGAAAAGACACGTGTTAGGGAAGTGTCTTTATCTCCTGATTTCCAGTTAATAAGAGGCGTATCCCTGACATCTTGCATATTACAGTCAAACCTCGTTAAGCCGAAGTGATCGATGCAATTAGTAAAAAATTCGATTTATCGAAGATTTACTGTAACTGTTCGGAGTTTATGGGGTTTTAATTAGTGCTTCGGTTGAAGTAGTTTAATTAAAATTACAGAGATTTGATTAACTAGCATTATATTACATAATTTATCCGTCTCTTACAAAAAATTAATTTCATTTTTCAATATGCAAACATTCTTACCACCAAAATTTAATAAAAATCCGTGTATAATAATCCTTGTAATGTGTAACAAACTTATACAAATGTCTATGCCTATTTTAAAGTGACATCCATGAGAAATCCTTGTTCTAATAAAGAAGCGTTGAAAAATCAAGGAGATGATGCTATTCAACATGCAATTTCGAAATATCAGTAATTTTTATTACATTTTAAATATTTTATCAGTTATAATCACAACTAATAGTTCAAGAAGTTATTTCTTTATAATAAACTTAGAAACATTATAACTGAAAGAATATCTTTATAATATTGAAAAATTATATATTAATCTTAATAACTTTTTTCAGAAAGTATCAGAATAATCAATATTTATTAAGTCTAGGAAAGTTATTAATGTCAAAACTTGAAATAACAAATAATAACTTTGAAAAATTATTAAGTTTAGTTGAAATATAAAGCAAAATTCTAATAAAGAGAATTTATTGTGATATAAACTTTATTTTTTCAAAATAAAGTTTTAATTCTGTCTTATTTAATTAAGCTATTAGATATTGGAATTTATTTAAATTTTTATCATATATCTTTTATAAAAAAATTTTTACTAATATAAACTTTTTTGAATTATTATTTCTTAAATTTTATTATATAAAATTTGATTAAAATTAATATAAAAATTATATAGTAAATAATTTAATTACTAAATTTTGAATCTTAATATCTTTATAACTATTGATTCAATTTTTATGAAATTTAAAACATATATTTATCAAATCTGGGACAACTTGCTTATATAATTTAAAATTCTAATCTTGCAAATTGATAGTAATAATTTAAAATATCTTTTTTTTTAAAAAAATAATTTTATTTTAGTTTTTTTAATAAAGTAATATTTTATTTATTATTAAATTAAAGTATATTAGAATAATTAAAATAATATAAAAAACTAATTTAGGTTATTCTTATAAAAAATTATAAAGATTGGTTAAAATTTAAATAATTTTTATTAAAAATAATTATTAATTTTATATTAATATACCAATCTTTTTATATTAGATCATATTTAATTAATTAATTTATATTATAATCTTATTAAAAAATTATTTTACTTATATTTTATTAAATACAAGCTTTAAAAAATAATATTTTTAGATGATAAGATTATATTAAAATATATAATTTATTTTAAAATAACTTTTTAATTACTTATATTATAAATTTAATTTTCTGATCTGATTATAATTCTTTTAATATTTATATTAATAAATTATTTCTTTAAAAATAAATTTAATAATTATATTAATTTTTTTGTTTAAAATTACTTTTATTTCAGATTATTTTATTAATAAATTAATTATTATAATAATATATTAATTTTATTTCTTTATTATTTTGCAAGAATTAACAAGATTAATTATAACTTTATTAAATATTATTCAATTTTAATAAAATATAAAGATTATTTTATAATTTATTTATTAATTCTTTAATAAATTATATAAGATATCAGGAAATTTTTTGAGGAGATATTCATCAAGAATTATCACTATATCTATAAAAATCGATAAATATCTCTCTGAGATATCAATATTAATTGACGACTTTGATAATCTTCAATAAATATCCATATCAATAATAATTGATCATTATTAATACATTATTTATCAATATATAATAATATATTAATCATTATTATAATATATTATTTATCGATAACAAATGATATATGTTAATAGTTAACTCAAATACTTGTTTTAAAATCAGTTTATTACATTAATATTGGTTTAGCTTATATAACCTAAATGAACATGCATACACTTACACATTTAATTATTTTCAAGACTTAAAACTTCTAAAATGCTTTTTATTTAATATTAAAAAATATATTTATTTAATA